GACAACATGCGTTTTTACTCACAGTAGCAGCGTTATTGCGCTCACTGCAAAAACGCCTAAAAATTAGATGAATAGAAATGTTTCGATCCATTAAGCCATTACATTCCCAGTCAGCCCACACCTGGACCTCGTCAGCAAGACAGTTGTGATGCTGATAAAACAAATATATAAAATAAATTTCTCAAGGAAATAGGTTATAATTTGTTAGGGTATAGGTTATAATTTGAAGTAGGAAAGGGATGAATTTTAAAAAATACTAAAATATGTGAAAAATTGTAGATGATACGGACGAAAGTCGAGGCGGGTTTGTGTTGAAAGCTCGTAGTGAAGCGCCTACAAGGCGACGGTCTCTCTCTGAGCGCTCATTAGCCGTAAAACGAACGATCCTCAGTGGTTTGCGTATTAAGAAGCAACATTCAACCGGTGATATTCATCAACGTGTCACTTCCGGTCAGTTTCCATCTCTTGTTTTTAATTTGTTGCCCTCATTCTTACCCCGTTCAACTTCTATCTTGTCGGAAGCGATCGTCTCGCTACCTCAAACCAACTTCTCAAATTCCTCTGCTTATGCTCATTACTCCGCAATTCTGATGAGTTGGCCATCAGCTTTTTTACTAAAAAAAACCTCTTAAAAAGGAGTTATAGTTATCTTCGACGCCTTGGCCTCTTGTAGAATACAAATATAAAGAGGCTTTCAAGTTTCGATTTCACCTTCTGCGACCAGTGTGCTGAAAAAACTTGAAATGTTTCGGCAGGTATTGCTTGCTGGTTGCAGTGGACATTTTCCCACCAAAATACGAAGAGAGCAAAAAGACTTCACATTTAATTACTTTTCATGCATTTTTGCATTATTTAATGAAATCTAAAAACATATTGTATGTGTGGGTTTGAATATGTGCAACTGTATGTGTGTACTTGTTTTGCCCTCTTCTTTCTTGTTCCCCCCTTCATCTTCCCCGTCCCCATCCCACGTGCGCTCCGTCCTACATGCGGACATGTTAAAGGCTTAAATTGCGGGCATCTTTATCCCACGCTAACAGAAGTGCTGAAAATCAAATTTCACAAGGGTTCACAGTGCAAAATCACGGATACGCCCGAAAGCTTTATCCTACGAACGTGGAAGAAATAACCAGTAAGAGCATTTCGAATATGAGTACAAATGAAAGCTTGTTGCTTTTTAATAGTGACGAGCAGTCGTGAAAATCTTTTAAAAACGGCTGCTTTAAAAAATGTTAAAAAGTGTTAGAACGTCGAAAATCAATTTTTATCAGCTACTAGTATGGAATTACAATTTATAACAAAAAACCGTGAAGGTGTTCTAAATGGCAAACTATTTAAAGAAGTGACAGAGAAATGCCGAATAACAACCTCATTTGCACATCGTCTATTTATTTCGCAAGTTGAACCAGCTCAAAAAAATGGTTTTGATGTGGTTGGCAAAAAGAAGTTTAATTCAGGAAGTCTGAGGTCAAGCGGTAGCACGATAAGCTGCACATCGGATGAATCGGAACACCGACAAGGACGCGAGCATTTGATTGTACCACAGGTTCGCCTGCTTCTTCTGTTGAATAACTTTGCAAATACTGCGTCCATTTGTAAAATTACTTCTTTGAAAAGAAAAAGATGCATACCACCAATGAGAGGCAACAAACCCAGGCCGCAACGCACCAGGTTTGCCTGTGCGATCATGTTTTTTTGCGCTAAACGTGCTGACTGCTAACAGCAGGAATGGTCCCTACGCTGTAGTTTAACACTCGGACTCATATTGGTTCTGTTTTGACTTTACGCAAGCAGGGGGAACGGACATCGGCTGGGAAGAAGTTGTCGCATTGTGCACAGCATATATTTCAGTGTGCGTGATTACCAGTTTTTGCATGAAACCAGTCGTTTTTCCTTATGAATGCTCGTTCACTGAAAACCCAGGCTGGAGCGCACCAGGCGAGCCGGAGCGATCATTCGTTTTTGCACCACACTTGAAATAATTAGGTTAACTGCATGAATGGTTGTTTGCATAAAAAAAAATAGACTTTGCAT